GATTCTTCGAATCTACACAACCACTGCCGCCCCAACCCCAAACCCCGAATGCGTCATTCGACGTTAGCCGTTCTTTCAACCCTCCAAGCTGGTAATCTCGTCAACCTTCTTGGCGCTTGCGCTCGTCGTGTCGAATTCATACCCGAGCCACTCCTTGGCCAGCCTTCGGGCTAGTTCAAGTCCGACCACACGCTCGCCCATACAGAGAACCTGGGCATTGTTGCTCAGCACGCTTCGCTCAACGCTGAAACTGTCGTGGGCGGTAACTGCTCGAATTCCCTTGACCTTGTTGGCAGCAATGGCGACTCCCAATCCGGTTCCACAGATGAGTAGCGCGCGGTCGGCCTTGCCCTCGGCGACAATTCGTGCGGCAGCCGCTGCTCGTAGCGGATAGGCCGTCTTGTCGCTGGACTCTTTGGAGCCGACATCGATGACCTCTGTGACGCGGCTGTCGGATTCGAAATCGCGCTTGATGGCGTCCTTGTAGGAAACTCCAGCTTCCTGTGGCCCTCTTTGTCAGCTTGCGTCTTCATTTTGGTGGTGCTGTGCTTTTGCCGCGACCATCGTTCACTTACATCACAGCCCATAACGATCCTCCATGTTGGTGACATTGTGGTTTTGAGCTCGCTGCCGATTGGGTGAAGAAATGAGACGAAATAGAACACGACAGGGAGGATAATCGAAAGACTACCAGTCAAATTATTTCGTTCCAAGTAGTAGCAATTATCGAAGAACTCGACAGGAAAGGAGGAAACAAATACGTCTTGATGAGAATTCCCCTCCAATCGCCACCATGCCCCGCCACGGTCCGGCTTCGCCAGCATGTCTTCGATTCCCCATGTATCACCGCAACGTCAATGAACCCTGGCTGCGCCGATTCAATCTTAGCTTCTACTGAATAAGACGCCCTGAAACGGTCTGGACAGCTGGGTTGGTGGTGGACTGTCGCGTCCAAGCCGTGGGGTGACAATGGCGGGTTTCCAAAATAGGAAATCCGACGCTATTAGTCCCTGAGACGAGACGCGAACTCCGAGAAGTTTGAACGTCATGAGAACATGATTGAGGGGCAGAATATGCGGGGACGTGTAGAGACATAGCAAACTATGGATATTGTTTGCGGGAGCCGTGTACGAAGGCAGGACTAGTCGGTGATAGTAATCGACCACATACGGCGGTGCCATGGAACGGTATCAAGCCCGTTCTAGCAAACGCCACCAGGGACAGGGAATTCGCATTATCCTGATTCAAACAAGCTCCGAAATGCGAAAGAGCTCCGTGGTCTTTTTATCAGCTTGATTCTGCCCAATGTTCCTTGTCCGGAACGGTCAATCTCTTTGCATTTGGTAGTCAATTGCATACTGAAGCTGCCATCATGTCCAAACGACACCTCTTCAACTCGCCCGAGGGCCTTGTCAACAAGGCACTGAAGGGAATGATTGCATACAACCCGAGCCTGAGTTTGGACGAAACCAACAGAGTCGTGTATGATTCTTCATACGACAAGTCCAAAGTCAGCATCATCAGCGGTGGTGGTTCGGGGCATGAGCCAGCATGGACCGGCTATGTTGGCACCAACATGCTCACAGCTTCCGTCCAGGGAGACATCTTTGCCAGTCCTAGTACGAAGCAGATTCTAGCTGGCGTGGAAGCTGTGCCAAGTGACAAGGGCACCATTCTCGTCATCACCAATTACACGGGCGATTGTCTGCATTTTGGCCTCGCCAACGAGAAGGCCAATGCTGGTGGACACAACTGTCGCATGATTATTTGCGGCGACGATGTATCCGTCGGAAGGAAGGGAAGCATGGTTGGCCGCAGAGGCCTAGCAGGCCAAATTGGTGTGCTCAAGGTCATGGGCGGTGCTGCTGGAGCCGGGGGGTCGCTCGACGATGTCTACGACCTCGGCGTCGCCTTTTCGCAGCAGATTGTGTCGATTGCGGCCACTCTGGACCATTGCCATGTTCCCGGTCGAACTGAGCATGGCATGCTTAATGACGATGAAGTCGAAATCGGAACTGGTCCCCATAACGAGCCCGGGTATAAGAAGCTTTCCCCGGCCCCGTCGCCGTCGGAGCTGGTCAGGCAAGTCTTGACGCGGTGTCTTGATGAGAGCGACCCCGAGCGTGGCTACGTCAAGTTTTCCCCTGGTGATGAAGTCATGCTTCTCGTTAGCAACTTTGGGGGCATGTCGCATCTCGAAATGGGGGCTCTGGTGGACGAGCTGCTGGAGCAGTTACAGCGCGACTGGAACATGGAGCCGGTTCGCATTTGCGCCGGCTTTCTCGAAACATCTCTCAACGCCCCTGCCTTTTCCGTCTCCGTCATTAACGCCACGGCTGCGTCAAAGAACTGCAGATACTCGGTTGAGGACATCAAGGGGTTCTTTGACGCCAGAACCAACACGCACTGGGAGTCCATGGCAGGCTCCCAGATGAAGCGACGCAGCCGCGGGGCGCAGCTCGTCCATGCTCCGAAGGAAGCTCCCAAGGCCGTAGACGAAAGCCGCGACTTGAAGCTAGATCCGACCGTTCTCGAAGACATGCTACGAAATGCTTGCACACAGCTCGTAGAGGCCGAACCCGACCTGACCAAGTGGGACACGATAATGGGAGATGGGGATTGTGGTGAGACTCTCAAGACCGGAGCCACCAGCTTGATGGCGGCACTCGACGGCGGCTTAGCAAAGTCCGGCTCGGTCGTCAAGGTCTTGGTAGAGCTGGAGGACATTGTCGAGGGAAAGATGGGCGGCACATTGGGGGGAATCCTGGGTATATTCTTTGTGTCGCTACGGTCCGCCGTGGAAAACAACATCGGCATCGCCGCCACGGAAGGCCCTGTGGCTCTTTGGGCAAAGGCTCTGGCTACTGCACTCGGCAGTCTGCGGAGATATACTCCCGCCAAGATTGGTGACCGTACCGTTATGGACACCCTGATTCCCTTTGCCGACACGATGGGCAAGTCTGGATTCAACGACGGCGTTCAGGCAGCTGTCGACGGGGCTGAAGCCACAAAGAAGATGAGGCCTCGATTGGGAAGAGCAACTTATGTAGGAGCTGGTTCGAGTGACGGCCAGGAATTGCCCCCCGATCCGGGTGCTTGGGGTGCCATGGTTGCTATCCGGGGCTTGCAGAAGGTTGCTTCAGGATGAAAGGGGACGACCAAAACACTCTCTCGTCATGTGTACCTTGTAGTTACTGCAAGCCCTGCCATCCCTCTTTGTAACCATTGTATTTTAACACCTAGTTCGGCTACAGCCCTGTCATGCCGAGTTACTATGCAAGTCTCTGTTATAGTACGTCTGAGGCTCTTTGTTCATACATGTACATGTAGCAAATCTGTATGCGGGGTTCGTTGCGCCCTTTTGTTATGACATTGGACAAGTGCGTTGTAAGTCAGTTGTTCGCCTCACTTCAGCACCCCCAGTAACTATTCAAAAGGAGCAACAATTCCGGCGCCTACAGAGGGCCTTTCTTGACTGTCATGAAAGTCAAGGGGCCCTAGGTATTCCGGATCATGTCTCCGCGTCAGCCATCCGAGCAGGTTCTCGCCGCTTTTGGCGCTCAATCCCAACTAACACGCCTACCCGGGGGAAGTTGCGTGTGTTACTTTGATGGCAAAATTGTTCTCAAGCCATCCGAGGACGAAGAAGAATCCCAATGGATCGGAAACACACTCGCCTCTCTCTCCACACTCGAGCCATCATTGACGTATCGTGTTCCCAGACCAATAGCGAGCATTCAAGATCCCACCAGGTACGTCGTTGACGGGTGGACGGCCATGTCTATGTTGCCAGGCCGAAATGAGCTACCGGTTCGATTCGCAGACACGTTTCGGGTCAGCCAGGCCTTTCACGAGGCCCTACGCAAGCTCAATCTCGAGAAGCCACGCTTCCTACGTGGCAGAATCAACCGGTGGTCCGAGGCTGATCGAGTCGTCTGGGGCGAAAAGCAACTGTCCGAGGTGGCCAATGTCAACAAGGAGGTTCTCGCCGTATTCGACGACGCGTTGAAGGAGTATGAGAAGCTGACAAGGCCGCTGCCCACTGATGTAACTCCTCAGCTCATCCACGGAGACCTCACAGGGAACATTCTTCTTGATGATGAGGCGGGGGAGCCACCTGGGATTATCGACATGACATTCTACTGGAGGCCGGCTGCGTATGCGGAGGCGATTGTGGTTGCCGACGGGTTGGCCTGGTATAAGCAGGGCCGAGGGCTGATCGAGTTGTATGTGATGGGCGAGACAAGACTCCAGCTTTTGGTGAGGGCTTTGCACTGGCGGTGTTTGACGTTTTGCATCGACCCCGATATGGATTGGGTTCGGGCCAACATACCCAAGGTGGATTTTATAGGCGCTGCTCGCTTGTTGGGAGAGGTTATTAATGAGGCGTCCCGCTGATGGGATTTGGACAGCGGCCAGAATTGCTACTGTATTGAGCATCAAGAGGTTGTCGATGCTTTTCTTGGACTGGCCCGTCAAAGTGCTCTTCAAGGGATGGGAAGCACGTGAATAGGAGATGGTAGAGCAGGAATGACGGCATGGCTATATACATTGTATGCGGACCTTGGGCATGAAACAAGAACAGAGGATCGACTGATACGGGATCTTGTTATCCTCCTCCCACCACTTCAACGCCCTCGATTGCTGAAGAGTGAGCCACGGGGATGGTTTTGCACCCCTTCATCAACCCTGGACCAAAACCCTATCTCGAGCCTCCCACTCTAAAGCCCGTCTTCCGTCTTGACGCCATCTGGAACGAACCTACCTGTTTTATGGCTTCTTTCAGATGAGAATCAGGTTTATCCCCGGCGCACAAGTATTATAAAGCTCGAGTATCACATCGCCATCGTGTCGGAGAAAGTGAGCCAAGAACGTTCTCGTCCGCCGGTTGACTGGTCATAGGCCGCTTGAGAAGATAAAGATATTCCTCTGCTGACGTTTGGGCAGTTTCAAGTTCTTCCCTGCCGCCGATTCTCTTTGCGCAGTGAAGAAGGCCCTCGATGACGTTGATTGTCGTCGCAAAAGAGAAGCAGGCAGAGCATTCAGCTCTCGCGCAGTTCCAGTTGCCCATCTTCCTGTGGTCCTCTCAAGAGAAGGTTCAAGATACCAGGCACACCGACTCCAAAGTATGCGCTGTTAGCAACTGTCTGGGCGTTGGAGCACTTCTCAACTTCTCCCTACAAAAAGAGTTGGTTGCCATGATCCCACGTCGGGGTTTGTTTTTTGCCAACCAACTCTGCGGTCCTGCTTTGCCGTCGCAGAATTTGGATCTGGGCCAGGTTCCTGAAGCTGGCTGGAGAATGGATAGGTAACAGCCCGAGGCTATCTGACTTGAGGAGCCAAGATATCATGGAGTTCCCAGAAGCCAGATTTAGACGAGAAGATACACCTGAAACTTGTTTTCTGGTATCAGTTGGGGTTCTCTGCTACCCACAGTCATTTTATGTTGTCCCCTCGAGATGTCGCTTCAGCAGATGGTTAAGCCACCGTGGAGTTTGGCAGATCTACGGAGTACGCGACGCAAAATTATCACCAAGGCACAAGCAGGAAAAAATAAAAGCTACAAAGCAGCCTTAGTCAAAGCTGAGCGTGAATGGGAAGAGCCTGCCTATTCTAGTAGTGTTCTCTAGTTATCGACGAGACGGAATGTATCGTGTATCTCCAAAGCGGCCTATAAGTGACAAACATGTATATTTCCTGCCCTTGAACAATAACTCGGAGCTTTGCACCAATGTTTGAATTGTGTTTTGAGTGGCGTTTCCCTATTTCATGGGCAGATTTTGGTGCATTTTCCTCGCAGATATGCGAAGCGTGCACGTATTGCAAGATTTTTTCGCCCAAATAGGACCGATTGCACCGTTTGTTATTGCTTCTTTTTTAGGTCAACTTTCCTTTTGCCGACCCGATGGTAGGGAGATTGAAATTCGGCGCGGCCCAGAACGCACATCGGACGACGTACGTCCCTTGCGGCTATCCCAGCCAGCCACTCAATTTCCGATCCAAAACTCCCGCCGCCGCCTCGCACGCAGGAAGCGCGGGGAAAATAAGTCGCGACGGCAGTCTCAGACAAGCCAAAAAGTGTCTCACTCCAGAAGGACCTTCTGGAAAAGGCCCCAAGGGTTGACCGCCCCGTGTTGTTGAGACAGCAAAGGACGAGCTTCGCTGGGCATAGTAGTAGTAGTAGTACTACTCCGTAGTAGTACTCCGTAGTAGTAGTAGTAGTATCACCGACTTTTGCCATTGAGCACCAGGCAGCAGTTTACAACACTCACGCCATCCCGGGGGGTCTGAGCCCCTAGTAACCACATGTACGTATGTATGTATGTACTGTACAACGACGGTCCCAAGGGAAAAAAGTGAATACTTTTTGTGTGACGGTGCTGCGGTCCGCCCCGCTGGCGCCGGGACCGTTCTGGGGAAATTTTGGCATGACAGGTTGACGAGACTTGGACGAACCATTGACTGGCTGGCTGCTTTTGCCCTTGGCTTCCCCCCTCCCCTTTTTTGTCTTGTTGGTTTTGTGATGTGGGCTGTTGTCTGAGACAATGCATTCCACATGTGCCAGAGATTGACATGCTAGTTAGTCTTTCTGGCGTGGGCACAGAGTGCAGAGACATTGTCTCACGTACCTTGCAAAAGCAACTGCCTACTAGGACTTTAAGCACAAGATCGCCTTTCCGGTGGACGGAAAAGGTTTCAGAGGGGCCAGGGCGGCAGGTCACAGACCATGCAAGAGATGTGAGATGTTTGTCGAGGAAGCCCAGCCCTTCATGTGGCTTTCCTACTCGTCCAGATCCGAGGGCATTGTGACAGCGGCCGGGCGCAAATCATGGCTTGGGCTTGGAGAAAGATTATTTCAAAGCAGACCGAGCCAATTCTATGTGCAAATGCAAAGTATTAACTGGTACACCATCAGTCTTTGCTTTCGTACCGAGGGCGGAATGCTGTACAGTGTACATACTTACATACATATTGTGAAAGCCAGCCTGGGGTTCAACTACACACATATGCGGAGCATGGTGTATATCTGTGTGTATATATGCATGGATGTACGAAGAATGCACACACACACACACACACACCATGGGGCGGTTCTCGGAGCCAACAGCCTCAACTGAGGGAGTCTGGATCGGCCTTGCAGCAGTGAGATGAGCCTGTTCGAGTAGTAACCGCACGGCCGGGAAATGATGAAGAATACAAAATCTGACTCCGCCGGCTAGTCTACCGAGAAACAGAGCGCCAATCAGCCATCTGTTGTGACCAGTGGATAGTTTGGGCCAACCTTGAACTCATACACAAGGCCGTCAAGCATCATCCGTGCATGATGGCACATGCTTGGTGGACATGGAAGGCACCATTCCGACGCCGTACTCCCTCTCCATGCCCGCCCGTATAATACATACGTGTGTATGAATGTATACCGGAAGCCAGCCCTGGCAACAAACCCCAGCCCGGGAAGCCAGCCGCAACTGCAGCGTCTGCTCCCCTCCCCCCATTCACTATCACAGGTTAACAACTTGGGTGAGGGAATGACAAATCCCTCAGTCTTTTTTTTCACTTTCCATCACCCGCCACCCAGCCGACAGAGCCAACGTGCCACCCGAGCCTCTTCGGCCTCGCACTTCCATTGGAGCCGGCACGTATTGTCGAGTGCCCGTGAAGGAAGCATGGTCATGTGTGTGACAAGCCCAGCAGCATATGGGTTCCATCGACGACGATAAACAGGGCGATAGAGTGACAGGGACCACCAGTATGGTAATCAAGGCCAGAAAAGTCCTCCCTACTCTGTCTGTATTGTGACATCTCCCTCCCATCCCGTTGTTCCTCGTGAAGCATATTCGCCTCCGGCCGAGACAAGGACATCGCTTCACGTAAGGGCCAACTGTCTAAACCCAAAGCATCAACCTTTTAATCAGGGGTCAGCCGTTCTGGGGGAGTTCGGCACGGTAAATCAAAACCATCTGCGACCTGGTCTCGACATTCTGTGCCGTCTCCTCTGCCAGATCCCCATGGCCAACTGCCAATCTTTGCCTTTTGCAGGACCTTGAGCTAGATCGTTTTGGGCTGTCCATGCATGAAAAAGTGCGACGACACAACCAATATGTCGAGTGTCCGTCTGCATTGAGTAGCAACCTAGATCAGCCACAACACCAACAACCGCTTTCGGCTGCCCATCTTGAATGCAAGAGAGAGAGAGAGAAAAAAGACTCACACCAACGGGAGTCTTTACTAACCACCGACCGGGTGGGCTTCGGTGTGATATCGTCCTTGTTATTGCATATACTATTATGCTTCTTGGGCGCCAAAGGTCACCTGCTGGCCTTGTCTTCTTCTTTGCTACAAGCCGCCTCTTTGCGACGAGCAGAAGAGCAGGCATGTTCAAGTCAGACGGACAAGTCACCGAGGAACTAGTACTCAGCCGCCGTCGGAATACTAATATGCACGGTGCTTATCGCCTCGCATCTGGACCAGGGATCATCCCGGCACTCTGGTTTGGCTCGAAATTCATAAACATGGCGATTGCATCCGGATGTGCGGACTACGGAGTAGACATACATGGACGCTCTGCAGCCAGGACGGGTGTAGCGATGTGGAATTCGGCCGATAGTGTCGTTGAGGAATTGCTTCTGCCTGGGTGCCCTCATATTGACGTACGTTGCGGCCAACAACTTCCTATTGTCGACGTGTTGTTGGTTAATCCATCATGTTATTGTCCTACCCAATGACAATACGAAGGATGGTTCAATAATAACACTGCAGCATTATTCTGCCCCATTAATGACGTCCGTTCATAGCTGTTGGTATCTACTGTTAGAACCTCGTACTTGATGTGAACCTTGTGCATGACATGGCCTCGAGTAGAAGCTGGCCTAGAGGGTGTCTGTTGGTATTTGGGAGCTGTTCGAAGCACCAATTGCTGTTCCTGTACTTAGGTCCTGTGCTTGGCGTTGTATATCTGAACCTCTTGATCTTACATACGGAGTACGGAGTACATACCTTGCCATACGAGCAACTAGCGACTTCATAATCATCTACTGTACCTACCTAGGTACGCAGCACATGGCATGGCCCGCAACAGCAATTATCGGTCAAATGGCCCGGTGGTGCCGTTCTTCAGGATGAATTTCATCCTTCAAGGCAAGCCCAGGAAGCCATTATGCCATTTTTATTGACAAAGAAGCAATTTGGTATGTCAAGATCCTTGTCATTCGGGACAGTCTCCACCGAAAACCTGTCCGAATGACCAAAAAATGCGACCGTATTCCGCTTTATCAAATTAGGAATCGGTTTCCTATTTCGTTCATCGACAGAAGACCAAGTCAGCGGCAGTTGGCCAAGTTGGCAACAGCCGACGCCGAAAACTGACAGACGGACCTAAAGTGCCGCATGTACATGACACATGCGTGCCTGACAAGCTGTGGATGAAATACCTAGTACTCCGTACTACTTCATCAGGCCGACTGGGCTGGAGCACAGGGCCGTGTTGCGAACAACTGCTTGCCTCCAGAAGGCATTGTCAAGGCCAGGCAGGTGTGGGTTCAGCGCACAAGAGAACTGCGGTGTGAGCTGAAGAAGTCGTAAACCAGCCAGCCACAGCTTTGGTCGGTCGTCTTTTGATTGGGTCGTCTGGTGGAATGGGAAAGGGAGGGCTGGTCCGCGTGAGATTTGCTTGCTTTTGTGACCTGTCGGAATTGTCGCGGGAGCAACGAAGCACACTGCAGAACCCGGCCGCCATTCACGGAGGAGATCAAGTGATGAAGTCGATGGTGATGGTGATGGTGGATGACGATGAAATTCCGTACCCTCATGGAACGCCCTCAGAACTGACAGAACTGTGAGTCCCAGCCCCAGACTGACATGGTCATATGGTCGCTTTCCGGTGAGATGCATTCGAGATTTGGTACTTGTTGCTCTCAATCTCACTCAGGCGCCTCATGGCCAATGCGCCGAGGAAAAAGCACTGCTGGCTTGGAGCCAAAAAGCCACACCTGTGACGCCCAGACTGGTGCTACCAGGGCCGCGAGCCTTTCGTCGTCCGGTTCAATCTCGAGGCATATCTCCCCCACTGCATCAGCAACAGCAAGCTTACAAGCTTAGCGAAGTCGCCGACATATTGTATGGAATTAGTTTTTCGTATGAAGACGGTGAGGTGCGAAGGGACCGGGATGCCCAGATTGTAGATATTTCTTTTGTTCGTACATGTAATTGGAGGTCCTACAATGGCTCAAAGTCTTGGATGAACCTATAATCGGTCCAGGGCGCAATAAGCCATGTCAGCATTAATGCGCCGGTTGGGGTTTTTCTTCTTATT